TTCAGTGTTTAAATGTGGAGTCAGGGTTTAATGTGGAGTCAGGGTTTAAATGTTGTTAGTATTATTTTGATTCATGGCCTCTAAATTACATGAAAGATTAGTACCACATCCATCAAAGGGAAGCAACCGAATAAAAACATATGGTCCAATAACATTTAGCCGGTTAAGGGTCTTTAAATTTTTATTTCTCTTATGAATCGTAAACAAAAAGTGTGTGGAGGATGAGGCTCATTAGCTGGGGATATCAACTTTTTCAGGGAAAGAAAACTAGAAAATCAAACAGCTGCCCTGTAGTTTGTTCTTGTGTTGACAAATGTAAACAGAGAATTAGGCTGGACTCGGACTCTACGAGTTTCTGCCGCCCCCCCCCCTCCCCGAACGAAATAAAATTTACATATGAAATGTATACTTTTACCATTGTCTACCCCCTCCCGCCGGGAGTCACAAAGAAAAAAAGTCTGGAAGAAATACTGCATACACGATGACGAGTTTTACTGACTATATTCGCGGTGTCTTTTCAAGCTATATTTTACTTGAAGGCACTTGAAGACAGTTGTAGTTTTTTAAAATTTATCTTTAATTTTCTTCATTCAAACGGACTGAACATTTAACAATTACAAAATAATACAGTATTCCAGTTTTCCGTAACCATTAAACTCGACAAAACTGTTCTCTATTCTAGACCTAGCCTCACCCAGAGATGAATCGTTATCAAAAATCAAAAATGTTTTGACCAGGTACGATTCTCCTGGTTCATCGTCTGCTATTTTTAGAAAGTTCGCATATACAGTTCGCATATAATTTTTTCGAGTAAAGGTAGGGTGCTAAATTTATGGGAAAAAAACAGCACTAGATTCATAATTTTAGGTGTGACTATCGGGTGCCCTCGCGAATCAGGGTATGATGGTCTGGTTCAAAATTGTTAGGTCCGGGTACTCGATGGTGAGAAAATAGAAATGGATTGGCCAAATGTAGTATGCACTTTAAATAAAAGCTTGTACAAATTCACAACTATTAAAACAAGAATCGTATTGTTCTTACTTTCTGCTAAACTGAGACAGAAATTAAAATTAGGAAATGAATTCCAGCAGTTTCCAAATGTATTCAGAATTTTAAAATCAATATAAAGACGTACATTTTATATTGAATGATCTACATTTTCCGTTCAATGAGTAATTTCAAGGTGTTTCAAAAAGTAATTAAGTCTTTTTGCAATTAAAACATTAAAATCCAAACACTTGAGAAATCGATATGTTAATTAAGTCGGCCAACTTGGGATTTTGGTTTACAGAAAAAATGCTTTTAAAAATATTTTTGCATGATTTTTATCATCATAACACTTTACTGTCGATACCCAGGTTAAATGGGGCCACCAGAGAAAGCCAGTCTTTCGCAACTTTCTCTGTTCTTGTCAGTAGTTTTCTGTTGTGTGTATCTAAGTCTCCCTCAACCTACACAGTTTACTTATTAGTTTTCTGTTGTCTGTATCTAAGTCTCCCTCAACCTTCACAGTCCACTTAGTTTTCTGTTGTCTGTATCTAAGTCTCCCTCAACCTTCACAGTCCACTTAGTTTTCTGTTGTCTGTATCTAAGTCTCCCTCAACCTTTACAGTCCACTTAGTTTTCTGTTGTCTGTATCTAAGTCTCCCTCAACCTTCACAGTCCACTTAGTTTTCTGTTGTCTGTATCTAAGTCTCCCTCAACCTTCACAGTCCACTTAGTTTTCTGTTGTCTTTATCTAAGTCTCCCTCAACCTTCACAGTCCACTTAGTTTTCTGTTGTCTGTATCTAAGTCTCCCTCAACCTACACAGTCCACTTAGTTTTCTGTTGTCTGTATCTAAGTCTCCCTTAACCTTCACAGTCCACATAGTTTTCTGTTGTCTGTATCTAAGTCTCCCTCAACATTCACAGTCCACCTAGTTTTCTGTTGTCTGTATCTAAGTTTCCCTTAACCTTCACAATCCACTTAGTTTTCTGTTGTCTGTATCTAAGTCTCCCTCAACCTTCACAGTCCACATAGTTTTCTGTTGTCTGTATCTAAGTCTCCCTCAACCTTCACAGTCCACTTTCAGCTTGACAATCGAGCGCCATTTCTGTAACTTTGTCTGGTCTCATCCTTAATAAATGGCACATTTAGCGCCATCTTTCTTCACTTAATTCTGATACAGTTTCAATTTCTCTGTCTCCTAGAAACCTATTATTAGAGATAGTCTACGGCCAGTGGATGCCATTTTTCGTTCATAAAAAGCATCCAACTTTTGATATCCAACTAAGAGTTTAAACTATACGATTACTATTACATGCTACATAAATTAATACTAACAATGATAGAGTAAACATGCAACTAATTATGAATACACACACAATGAAATGCACTTTATTTTGGTAAATATGTAATATTTTCTAGTTGGTTCCCACAAATATAAGCATATTTTAACACGCTTAATCAGCCTTTGGTTTTGATAATTTATTCATACGTTTTTCTTTCTCTTTAGCACATGAAAACTTGTTTTTAAGTCGTTTTTATGAAGTTTTTAGGGTCAGGTTTTAATGACTGATTTACTGAACACTTTATTGATTAAAAAAACTCTTATATGTAGTCAGATCATTTGAATATAATATATTTGACGTCATATTAACAAAGTTATATAGTACTTCTTCTATGCATTACAAGTTATATGATATTCAGTATTCTTCGAGAATCAATCTAGATCTAGAAGTTAATTATAAACAAATGTTTTTTCTGGTTTACGGAAAAATTTCTTTTACTTTTATAGACTTTGCTCCAATCATTTTTATTATAGCCATGGCGAAAAGGAAATGTTAAAAAAAACATACGTATGTTCGTTTACAGAATATTTTAAGGCAAATTCGAGAGCTTTACATCGTGCTATGCTAAAATTAAAGCGGGAGTGATCTTCCCTAAACCTTCTCCAATATACTTATGTAACACTACGGGGGACGGCAAATTGGCATATAGATATAATTTGAATCAATTTTAAAATTACTTATCCGCATGTTGTTATTGTGTTTGTAATTTTTTGTGAATTAAAAAAAAACTGGGGAAATTAAAAGTTCAAATGCTAGACGCAGTCATATCCCCTTTAATATCACGCCTACTTGAAAACAGTTTAGTATAGGTCTAAATAATAAAGGATTTTTATTTAATCCAAAAGTGTTCCCCGTTTAATCGTGAGTGTAGTAAAAAAAAACAGTGAAAATTAAAAGTTCAATTTCCTTTCTTGGAATCTTGAAGATATCATTTGATAATAATTAAAACTTACTTTGTCTCTCCCACAGCTACGATGGTACTTTACTCACGTTATGGAACGTACACATTGACTACGTTTTTCATACTTATGTCGAGATTACAGAAACATGTAAACTCTATATTATTGTACTGTTTTTTGTTTGTGATCGTAGGATAAATCAATAACTTTATTAACTTAATGTTTCCATTTCTATCAGTATTTTGTCATGCAATATACAACTGCTGATGTGGTCTGTAAATCCTGTAAGCTTGTCAGTTCCTCTAACGTGAATGTTTTCAATACAGGCCAGACCTTCCGACACCAGACCACTGCTGACAAGATTTTACCTTAATGTTATTTTTGGTATTAGCTCGAATATTAGCTTTATTTCTTTTTATCTCTGGTCCAAGCTAAAAGTTAATTTTAGGATCGTGCTTTATTACTTTTCAGAATTCCGTTTAACAAGTTAGATGGTGTATAATGATCTTAAAACAGAAATGCTCGTGTGTTTGAAATGAGAGTTTGGCTTGTATTCTAAAGACGTGTGTATGTGTTGAGGATAGATATCTTAGTACCTAGCAATTTATTTAATAAAACGTCGATACCATTAGCTTTTAAGTGCCTGAATAGTTTAGCTCTAATGCTTTTATTATCAAATTCCTCATTGATTTTATGTGTGCTTCATATTGTACTTGCTCTTTTCTTCCAGCTGTTTTATACTTTTGTTTTAAATCTCAGCAAAATTGTGGGCTTATTTTTTATATTCTCATGTGTAAGGTTTAATAAATCCATTTTTAAATCCATCCTAGATTAGTTAGAAAAACACTGGATATCCAGCGGTACATTTTCTACTCGAGCGCACAACTTCTAGAACAGGTAAACTCGAAAGATCTAGACCAGGAATCTATCGCCTTGAGGGGTTTACATTTAGGCTGTGCCACAAATATTTCTCCAGTAGCCTCCCCTTGTCTGTACGTTTGACGCCGTAAAGAACCTTCGTATCCCATTTTACCAAGTCACGCTCCCCCTACCGTGACAGCCTGCAAGTGTCTTTGATGGCAGCAATACTCTGGGAACACACACATACACACTAATATGTATTTATATGTGATACTAGAGATTTCTTAATAAACAAACATGCTAGATATGAGATACACTAGATAAAACATTAACTACTTAAACAAAGGATTTACTTAAATAATTTATATTTATTCTACTATATGAGCGCCTAAAGTTCACATTTATAATACAAAGCTCTACAGATCCCAAATTAACAGTTACTATCTACTTTATGTGATTTTGGATGGCATATATATCTTTCGAAAAACTATGCGAAAAAAATATTATTGAAAAAATTGCACAATCATTACACACGTTATTAGAGTTGAATTACACACTTTCCGAGTGAATGTCTAATTAAAGATATAGTGGTAGATGACAACTACACTACTAGTCTATGAATATGCAAGAAATAAATGACACCATCATAGTCGGGTTTTTTTCTGTTTTAATGGCTAACACACACACAGTCAATCTATGAGGAATTTCAATTCTAGATGAGTGTATACATGGCTTTATTACATCATAATAGCAAAACAAACTGTTGTAGTTTTTAAAATCATTTTTTTTAAATAAAATGTTTGGCTTAATGTTTGTTAATTTTAAACTCCTTATTTATACTCACCATCAAGAAAATATTGCCTTAGTTAAATGTTTACATCTATTTATTTTCATATATGAAATGTTGTTTATGTTCCTGAAGATTAAGTAAATAATTTGATTACTGTATATTCATTATTTTACAATAGCATTGTTTTCGGGTTGTTTACATTTGACGAAGTTTCATCTCAACAAAGTCTAGAGAGTTAAAATAGTCTGTAATGCTATACCAATGAATTCCTTTCTTATAAACACGACTCGCCCATTCACCGTTGACGTTAACAGTGTGACATTCGTTATACCACCAACCACCTCTCCTGTCTACAGCACAGTTTCCATCTGACCACTCATCGTTATCAGAGTCAATGGTTGTAAACTTCTTGCCTTTGTGATCTCTAAACCAGTCATGAACATTCCCACCACTAAATGACGTGAGGCTCATCTTATACTTTGCTGCTTCATTTTCTACCTTAAAACCTCTGTACACAGCGTAGTAGTCTTTACCTTCATACTTCATGTCAAATCTGAGTTCATTATAACCCTGTGTTAGACAAAAAATTAGAAATATTTAGACATTGCATTGTGTTTGAAATATTGTAAGTATTGATCCCTCTATAGTATATGAGAATTATACATATTGATAAAAAAAACGTAACGAAAATCTATAAACAATATGCACAATTTCCCAAAACATGTTATTACAATAATACACACACTGCTTGAAAACTTTCTTTGTAAAAAAAAATATTAAATCAACTTATTTTGATAGTTCCTGTATCTACCCCATCATTAAAACAAAAGACGTCTGTTGAGAAAGGAAATATTACATTATCTATTGCCTGATTACATTGCAACTTAAAAATATATTCCCTTACAAGAATTACTATTTATATTCAATTTACGTATGGCTTTTCTAGAACTCCCTCCTTTTCATTAATCTCCTTACATTGCCTGCCGTTGTATCACGCTAGCAGGTAATAAACCCATCTTCCCTTACAATATATATAACTTATGTACTTTTCCTTCTTTTGTTAAGCTATATAGCCCTAATTCTAAATCTTACAACGTATCTTATTTGTATCTCTATATGTATGTTGTGTAATGGGGTTAATATAATAAAGGTGAGGGCAGGCGGGAGGGTGTGGAATAAAACTGTTGATAAAACCGGTAGAGGAAGAAATGACCGGCGGAAAATATCCTGCTCACTGCATTACACTATTCTTCAAGGTTCGTTACATAACCACGATCTTTATTATATAAGCTGTGTTACCCTTCCTAAAAATATCTAACTTATCTGTGTATCGTTTATCTAATAAACACTTCGGAAATCAACGGATCAAGACACTTAGCTTTTTCACGATAAAAATAACAACACGCTATGTTAATTTATTCATCTATTAACATACTGCATGTGCAGTAAATGCACCTTCGTCATATAAAGTGAAGATGTATAGTATTTGTTTCGTTAGTTAGCTATTGTTTTGTAAAATTTAAAAACTCAACGAAATAAATTACTATGCATTCGCCATTAAAATAGCACGTTACTTAAGTTAATCTAGGTCAATTTAAATGTATTTTAAATATTCAATGCCGAGACTGATGATTTAAATGTGTATTTCAGTGACTTGTTTACACCAGACGCAAAGTCCAATCGTCATAAAGATTAAATAAAATTATCAACATGAATTTATTAGTAACTGTAAACAAGTGTTTGCTATATTAATAGCAGAAATTTCAAGACTTTGCATTCACTACGTATCTCCACATTTGCAGCTTATATTATCCATCCATCTATGTATCCCCTTTTTCAACAGTCCATTAACAGTTTTAGCCAGATTCAGTACATTCTACCGCTTATATTTGCCATATATCTTCATCGTTCAATTCTTGAATTTTATTTATTTATTTTATCTCCACCTCAGCAATGCATCTAGGTCAAGTTGTAGCCTACATTATGGTAGCAATGCAGAGCGTGTCTAAAAGAGCATCGCATTTTTTTCTCGATCAGTATACAACCTCTACGGCGGCTTTATACTAAACTCGTTTACAACCTCGAATGTATAAGGTTTACGGTTGGGTAATATATATTTAACTCTTAGCTTCCGAGTTTCTTGATCACAACACCTTAGATACGCATCACCGCCTCTGGTGTCTCACAAATCCCTCTCCTTTCTGATGTTTTTGCCCCCATGACCCCACCCCTACAACCCTCGTGCCCCCATGACCCCACCCCTACAACCCTCGTGCTCCCATGACCCCACCCCTACAACCCTCATGCCCCCATTCCCCCACCGCTACAACCCTCGTGCCCCCATGACCCCACCCCTACAACCCTCGTGCTCCCATGACCCCACCCCTACAACCCTCATGCCCCCATGACCCCACCCCTACAACCCTCGTGCCCCCATGACCCCACCCCTACAACCCTCGTGCCCCCATGACCCCCACCCCTACAACCCTCGTGCCCCCATGACCCCACCCCTACAACCCTCGTGCCCCCATGACCCCACCCCTACAACCCTCGTGCCCCCATGACCCCACCCCTACAACCCTCATGCACCCATGACCCCACCCCTACAACCCTCGTGCCCCCATGACCCCAACCCTACAACCCTCGTGCCCCCATGACCCTATCCCTACAACCCTCGTGCCCCCATGACCCCACCCCTACAACCCTCGTGCCCCCATGACCCCACCCCTACAACCCTCATGCACCCATGACCCCACCCCTACAACCCTCGTGCCCCCATGACCCCAACCCTACAACCCTCGTGCCCCCATCTCTTTTCGTACCATTTATTCTGTATGAATATGGTTTCTATTGCTCCTTTTTTGTATCGGTTTTATTTACATAACTTTCAAACAAACATTGTAATGATATGTTTTAACACTAATTTAATAGTATTTTATATCTACTGTCTATTGGTCCACAGCTTACATGACCCCATGACCCCATCCGTCTATCCCCCCCCCCCCTAGACCCCACCTCTTTTCACATAGAGTTGTTCCTGAAAGTCATCTTTAAATGGTTTTGTTTACCTTTATTAACATGTACGAAACTATGCAAATTCTTTCATGAGAACACTGCTAACCAATTGGTGACCTTTAAAACTCCACCGTATCCCTACACATCATTATAGCTTCACACCTACCCACCCAAAACATGTCTGTACTAAGCAGTCAAATAATCTTAGCTACGACTATGCACATCGATCCTGAAACACCAACCTTTACCCCCTCCCGCTCAATCACTCACATACCAACCTGTTCGGTAACCCCCCCCCCCCCCTAACGACCTCACCCCACCTGAACATCAGCTTTGATTTGTTTGTGTTTTTTTCCTGATATAGCTAGTATTGTACAGCCATCCGTGACGACAGTTTAAAGACGACAATGAAAAGACCAAGCTGAGCCTGTTATCACCTCCCCTTATTTTTAAATCGTTTAAAACCTAAATTATCTTCCCCTAATAGCCGTAAATAATTCGACCGAGTTCTACGATTGTAAACAACTCACCAGACTGGTAGGGTTGGGGTGGTAGCGACATGGTCTGTTGGGTATGCATGGAGAGTGAGAGAGGGGGAGGTTCGGCGTGCGTCTACGTCTTGTCCCGAATGGTCGCCATGAAGAGAATTATATACGTAGATGTTTATTGTACAAAATGAAATCCACTTAAACCTACTTTATTTTCGACTTTTCTACTATATGTTATAATTTTCACGCTTGTTTTTGGTAAAATGTTTCAAACCAGCCTTTGACCACTTTTTTTAACCAACATGCTTTAAACCCAATGTATTTTATGTATTTATTTACTTATTTATCTATTTATTTATTATATCATATGCATCACTCTAACTACCATGTAAATATCCCCCTAAACGGCATGTTATGTTACTGTATTTGTTTTAAAATTATAAAACACGATAACATTAGGCCCAAAATTAGATTGGACATAATGGTGTCTGGTTTGTTATCTCAGTATAGTTATACATCACATTGAAATAGGTTAAATTACTCAGGAAATAGATAATTTAAAATTTATTGAAGCGGGCTACAAAAATTGTTTGCGGGGAATCCCTTTTTTGTCTAGTTCCGCAATAGATTACACAAACGTATGAATGCCAATTGTAGTACAATATCCTTCACTTACCTAATCAGTTATTAACTGCTAGTCAATAATACCCTCTCCTCTAAAATGTATTACTCTAGTTCTTTAATTGCTGTCCTCTCCTTTAAACTTTAACCTTTTACTATTCCTACCCATTTCCTATTCATAACACTAAACTTTACATATCGCTAACCATTTTATATATTTCTCTATGTACTGGTGTCCGTTGAATACTAAAATCTGTCAGTGTCCTATTGTAGTTTTTGTTGAGCCGGAGTAATTTACAGGGGTAGTTAATCTGAGAAAATGATAGGGGGATATGACTTGAGGATAATTAAAGAGGGTGGCAGAGTTTCATCCAGGCATCTCTTCGGGGGGGGGGGGGGGGCAAAAAAAATTCCCTGACCCATAAAGATAAAATCAAAACATTTTTTCTAGAGTTGAGATATTAAAAAAATAAATAAGTGTGTCTCATCTACAATTCAGAGATCATATAATAATATAAATAATATGATATCTGGCGATGAATAGGACAAGACTTTTGTTTACCGATAGTAAGCTAAAAAATGTTTTCCGTTAATAGACTACCTTTAACAGTTTATACGTGCAAGTTATGTCAATTGAGATGATGTATTATAGTTTGTCAATTAATATTTTATTTTAGTAAAATATAAAAATCACTCAACCAAAAAAAAGCGTGTTTCATACGTACTTACCCGTGTCATAATAGTTACTACAATGTATTTAATCGTCAATGCAAGTACTAAATTTAAAAGTAGACACATTATTGAAAATCACGTAGAAGAAATTATGATCAAATTGAAAAATTGATGTTGAAACGACCCCATGTTTTGGGAAACAGTTATCACATAACGTAAACTAACAAGCTAGAGTATACAAGTATCGTATAAAGTGATTTTTTTAAGAATAAGAAATTAAATGATGCCATGTACATTGTTCAGTGTGTGTGTGGTACAATAAACTTAAAACAGTCCCCCTAAAACACATTACTCAGTTTTACTTCGTAATGTTTTAGTACAAAATTCAGTTTCCATGCATATTTTTAAAGGAGCCATTATTTCCTTACCGAATCTGTCAATTGAGAAATGACGTCGTTTCCGATCCAAAAGTCTCCAGATGTTGAACCAAATCCGTTTTTATAATCGTTCCATGTTCTTGTAAAGTTCACATCACCTTTGATACGTCTCTGTAAGAAAAATGGCACCGCTACAATAAAGTCCTAGCAAGTTGATATAATTGATTCCAAAGATTAATAATGATTCAAATTACGCACGAGATAGCATATTAAACTATTTAAATAATCAAAACGCTTATCTACGAAATAATAGCATTGATAAAACTACGGTTAAGTGAGTTGATTTGATTTATTCTAAGGTTTAATTATCTGTGAAATATATTAGGATTCTAGTTATTTCATGCAACAAACAATTTACATAAAATCAAAGCAGTCGTTACTTTATAAGACCTAATATTCTTCACATTAACTCTCTAAATATTTCCAATACTTTGTGTATTAGACAGTTACAAATATCACGAGATAAACTTTAGCGTTTGCTTCTGTTCTAACTCGAAACCAAATAAATCCCCAATTTTATACATACAACAGAACGGATATTTTACAAATACATGGTCTAAAAAATGCACTAAACACTATTGTAGTTTATCACATTTTGTCTATTTTATTTTAATATCCTAAATTTTTATTCAGATCAACAAAATAAACAAGACTACTAGATTCAGCTTTTCTCCCCAAAACTATGAGATATATTAACAATTCTGATAAAATATATATTATACAAACATTGCGTATGTAGTTCAACTAATACGGTTTTTTTCTTTAATGTGTAGCTAAGTGTCTATCATTGTGTATCATACATCTTTTTTCATCAACACAGTTAAAATTATATATCGGAAAAATGATGAATGGCTAAGAAAAATGACAAAATAACCTGTATAATAATCCATCCTCCGCCGTCAGTCTTGGTATCACACAATGTTCTTTTGACATCTACTCCAGCCTTATTCATGTCGGCTAAAACACGATCGTTCATGTTAGCACATTTTAACTGGAACCAAATTCATTTAGAATATGTTTATTTATTATTATTAGTTGAAACGGAATGAAATTAAAACATACACGTTAAAATATTCAGACAGCTAAACATTTCTCTTTTTCTTTAATAATAATAATATTGTATTAACTACATAAACATTATCGCCACACATCACACAACTACGAAGAATTATATACATTCACATGTATGTATGTATTGACATACTCATATATGTTTGTGCGTGTTTGTATTTGTATAAGTATAAATATATTCGCAGAAATATTTTTAGTATGTGTTAAAGTTATTTTACCCAGATAGCCCATTTAATATACCGTTTACTTTCTAAACATTGTCGAGACAAGGAACGAATTTCTGTAAATGTGCGTTCTAGTACAGCAGCAGCAGAAGTAAAAAGTGGTGATGTTATTATTTTAAAGACATTCGACTAAATCATACTTTTATAAATATGTATCGATTATGCATTTTTCTTTTAAAATAATCACCCGCTAACATTTGTTAGAATATTATCTGAATGTTAAAATATTTAAAACATTCATGCTTTTCAACTTTTAACGAAACTAAGCAAAGTAATGATGTAAGGCCAATTCAAAAACAAACCATGCCTAAATAAAATAATTTAACTTTAAACTACTTGGGAGCATAGTCATATGATATGGCGGAAATTTCAAATCGGGACATAGCAGATTTTGATCTTAAGCAAATTATATTTAACTTACGTATTCACTTTCATTGAACACAGGACCACTTAATCTATGTAATCTACTGACTAGAAAACTAATTTGATCTGATTTAGTAATCAGGTTTTGAACGGTATTATTCATCTTCTCCATACTGGCATGTATATCAGTGTCTGTATTGTTTAGTAGTGATACAGCTGATTTTAAATCACTCAGTGTCTCTGACTGTGTCTCTGACATTAATTTGTTGCTTTCCCACAGTTGTTGAATGCTTATATTTTGACGTTGTTCCAATATCGCTGTGCTATTTTTTAACAATTCGTTAGTTAAATTTAGAAAATCTTTTTTAAAATCTTGCATGGTTTTCTTTAGAATTTCACTTTGATTTGACCTTTGCGACAAACTCTGTATATCAAATGATACATTAACAAAACTGTAGTTCAGTCTCTCCAGTTGTTTGTGTAAAATATTGTATAGACTTGATACGTTTTGTACAGAAATATTGTGTATTTGAAGTGTTTTATTGTTTGCTTCTATCTGTTGAGTTGATTTTAGTAATTTTTCAGTCAAGTTGTATTTAAAATGCGTGAACTCTTGATTTGTGTTATCTAAGGTGTTCAATCTGTTAACAACGTTGTTCATTTGATTTTCAAGTCTCTGAATTGTAGACCCTTGGGCAGATAACAAGCTATTTAATCTACTTTCCATGACATTGGTAAGGTTAACTAAAGTTTCATCACTCTTCTCCTTTGTTAATTCTGTTGTATGATAACTAAGGTAAGAACGTTTGTCATCTGTTAAAAACTGTAAATTCATCTTCAAGTCAGCACTGTGTAACTTATCAGAATCTTTAAATGTTTTTAAAAAATCTGACATACTATCAATTGTTTTATCAAACTCTGGAGCTTTAGCCTCTAAGGTCATCACCATCAACGGCTTACGATTAACTTGGTCAACAGTTTTTGTTTTATTTTCTTTCATCTCAACGAGACCCCTTTTATTTTTGTAATACACATCACATCCAAACACTGCACTAAAACAATCAGAAGGTTTTGTAAATGACACTTTTAACTCTCCAATGACCTTTGAAAACTTTCCATCAACTTTTGCTCCAGTTACTTTATAATCTCGAACTCTTGAATCTGATTCTGATACAGACGCCAACACAATCTTCCGCTCTAATTCACTGATCCTATATACTGACATGTTGACAAGAGCTGAGATTTTATCTTCTCTTGTGTTCTCCACACAATGTAACTTGACACAGAATAAATCTCTACCCTCTATATAGTATTCCCTTTCCAATGAAATGTCAAGTCCTGAAAATATATAAGTATTTTATAAAAACTTGTAAGCATAAAATATGGCTAAGTTTGCTTTAAATTGAGAAACAAAAAGCAGTAATATCTCTCCAATTACCATCATGTCTATGTGCTTGTTTGAAAAAGAATTTTTTTATCACCGTAAGTTATTTTTTATATAAGTAGAAGTTTTAAATAAACATGTATCCCATTGTTAAAGCATTTATGTTGTTTTAATTCCAATAGACAAAAGATCGATCACACACAGATGTTCTACACTACTTCTCATCACTGTAAGACAGCTTTACATTTATGTCAGCTTGAGACAAAAAATATTTCTGGCAACATAAGACTAGTCTGCCTATATTGTAACGATTAAACGGTCACATCACGTACTTCATCTTTACATCTCTGGAGCATCTTATAAATTATTACAACTTCAATATATACACACATTATAAGTGTAATGCTACATAATACTGACATGTTAATAATATATTAAGGATGTTCCGTTAACAAATGCACTTTATGCTAATACGTTGCGGGTATTATAATATGCTGATCGATTGTACAAGGTCCTATTATTATATAAAATATTTGATCAATCGTGTACTTATAGTGCGGGGGGGGGGGGGGGGGGGGGCACGACGTTTAGGGACCAAATCCCGACCAAAAAAACAATGAATTTTCTTTTCATAAATAATGTTTTTCGTGCTCCTTGATAGTGGTTTTGTAAAAAACAAACAGGTCTAAGTCAACTATAGCAGTGATTGTTCTACAGTAACTAACTCATATGTTGCGTAGAATAATTATCATTAAAAAAGTTTTTAAAAACCCACGTTTTCTGATTGAACTAAAAAGTAGAAAATAAATGCTATACATCACAATAATGCAAGCGATCACTCTACTATAAGCGATGAAAAACGAGGGGCGACGAAGTAAACGTTTTTTATCGGTCATTGTTAATATAAGATGTAAAAGTTATATTATATAAAGTTATATTACTATTGATTAGATAATACTATTGACTTTTATTAGGGAGCTTGTAGAGAGTCAACAGTATTAGAAACTAAGAAAATCACGGCGCCCCACGTTTTTCATCGCTTATAGTAGAGTGATCGCTTGTGGTGATTTAATGTGTATGAAAGGTGAATACGTGGAACGGGTCACTGCGTGTGTGTATGTGGCATGTAGTGAGACGCGAGGCCGGGTGTGTTGACGTGTATGTTGTTGTACGGAGTGAACGAGTGTACAAGGGAAGCGACTGGTCGGGTGACAGCGGCTGTGTTGTGAGCGGGAGAAAGGTGGTGTGTAGGAAGGAATGCGGGAGGCAGTTGAAGGTTGGGCATGAAAGGAGGCAGGTTGATTTGGTGACTGAAGGATAGAGAAATAAAGGACTGTGATATCTGGCTGCAATTGTGTTGTGCATTTCTTGGATATTCAGACACCCTCACATCGCTTGCATTAATGTGATGTATAGCATTTATTTTCTACTTTTTAGTTCAATCAGAAAACGTGGGTTTTTTAAAAACTTTTTTTAAGATAATTATTTTCTACTTTTTAGTCTTTGTCTGTTTGTTTGCATTAAAATCTTGCTATCGATTTTATTTTTTGGCATTCACTTTTTTTTTGGGTAAACGAAGACAACTCGTAACAAACACGTGCCTTTTCCAACCGACGTTTCTTCTGTGTTGCCGTTTCTTTCACCATTTTGCCCTCGCGTGCAAACCATTCGACCATAACCATTCTACTTCATTTGTACACAAACCTCTACTCAGCCAATCGCTTGCTTGCTCCTTCAGTAAGCCAGAAGAGGGAAAGTGGGTTGGCAATCGTGTGCCCAACCACTCGACCATATCGTCTCCCCCATACTGGCCACCAGTTGTTCCGGTTGTTTGTACACAAACACCGCGTGACCAAAAACTCAGTAAGCCAAAAGAGGGAGAGTACCGAACCTTGTTTTCATCAAATTACAGTTACTGGGTTATGTCCCCTTTCCCCCACGTTTTTGTACAATTATATAGCGGTCTAAAATGATCAAAAAAATGTTTCCATGGATCAATTTAGTAATATTAACAATTGAATATTCTATGGTCATCGGAAACAAAGCTTCCCTGAAAAATTTAGCGCGGTAGCTAACTGGGAAGTGCCCGAAATATCGATCGCAAGATTTGATTGGAGAACCAAACAAACAAACACACAGACGCGAAAGCAAGTTAAAGAAAACGTGGGAAAAACACTAGCGCGCTAGACGGTTCGGCGTAGTGTAGACCAAACTATTCCTTCATATGCCGAAATTACAGAAATAGGCGAATTCTTCTTAACTTGTCGTATGAAACGTCAGGTTTGAAAAGGCAATATTAATTTATTTAAAAGCCTTTCAATTCAATTGCGTGTACGCTTTTATTAGGGAGGAAAAACGTGCACACATTTAACATATATCAATTATAAAAGTGCAACATAATCTTCCCCTCTAATTTACTGAAATTATCCACTGAAATATTAACAAGAGCTGATATTCTATTATCTTCTCTTTTATTCTCCACACAATGTAACTTGCCACAAAATAAATATTTTGCCACTGTGTAGTGTTCTCTCTCTAATGACAGGTCAAGCCCTGAATAGATGTTTGTATGTTATATTATATTACATTAAGGTGCAAGTCAATGGCAATTTTAGATGTGACAAGCTATTAAAGAATAACTGAACATTAAATACATTAAGTATTGTGCGATAGGCAAGAAAAACATATTTACTACTTTACCTTTGATCCAAGTTAATTTTGTAATGATCATCAAGCTCAGAAAAAAGATCATTTTGACCTTTTTTTTAAACAAAATAACTTCTAGTTAAATAAAATAAAGTATTCTGCAATGCTTGCTGCAATTTATTACACAAGCAAAGATGAAGCAGTCAGTGCCGTTTAAATAGTCTGAGTGTAGAGGATGTGACCTCAATTACTTAAAATTGCGGATGCTGTCGCAGGACTTGACCGTTTCGTGGAAAT